CTTCTAATAGAGGTAGTCTTCCATCTACATCTTCCAAACCCAAAGTTTGTCCTATCAAACTTCTCGATCTTGGACGTCTCCTTCTCAGATCCCATGTCTCTGACATCAAATCGCATGCGCCAAACCTGGCTGCTCTAATACCACTTGTTAGGGTTTTATCTAACCCCTGATGCGATTTGAAAATACAGATGAGAGAGAAAACAATCACACAAAACACACAAAATTTACGTGGTTCACTTCTCGATGTGAGAAGCTACGTCCACGGCCGCCACAAGAGAAAATTTTACTATTTTCGTGAATCTTACAAGTTGTTCTAAACTTCCCTTTAATAACATAAGGGTGAATACAAACAAAATTTGGCCAATCGACAGAGAACAAAAAAATCACTATAGGGTCTCGCGGTCGACCGCCGCGCCACTCGCGGTCGACCGTGAATCTCCCAAATTGTTTCCTTCATCGTTTTGCATGAACTACAACACTGTCGTTCTTGTTTCTTCAATTTTTCTTGTTTCCTCTTCAAATAGAAGTATAGGGCAAGTCTAACAGTTAGGCTCTACATAACCTAACATTTGTTTGGTTTATCTTCCTTCACATGAACACGATAAACTATCGGTTCGCACATGAATCATCATTGGAGTCCCTTAGAGGCGCAAGTCTGTGAATGGAATGTTTACCACCTCCTCACCTCATTATAAGTAACTTAGCATCTCATATCAAAATTGAACTAATGTTTTGTACAAATCTTAATCAATAAAAGTGAAGAGCCGCAACCGTATGAAAATTTAGAAAATAGTATATAAACACAACACAATATAGACTATCGTCTAGAATTCCTGTGAGACTCGATCCTCAAAGTCCCCATTCATTCAATCCCATTTTCAGAAAATGTTTATATTTTCATCATTGATAATATCCATCATGAAGCATGATCTTCGTAGTCCCCCTTTACTAAAACTTCCTATAGATTCCTTCCTTTGCTCAGAGGACCTCGTGAGATCTGATCTTCATCTTCAATACAGAAGAAAGAAATAGGGGCACCTGGTCTTCAAGTCTGCATATTAATTAAAAAAAAGAATGATTAATTACATACTTTATGTTAGAATATAAAAATATAAATCTTAATTCCAACCATAACTTCGGAGTGTTTTGATATAATGATTAGAGAGATTTAATTTAAAATGGTGTCAAAACAACTCATGTTCGAATCCCACTGTCCATGAGTTTAATGAGAATTTAAAAAATTTGTTACCACTACGTGTTGAGCATTACAGTTTTATATTCTATACGTAGTTTCAAGGAGTATCGATCCAAATTCTGTCCATAGTGGGTAGAAAATGAAGATTGGTCACACAAGGACTGATGAACAGGACTGATGAACAGGACTTGGAGGTGAGGCTTTGGTCTCGCAGACAAACATGGATGATGAAGGAGATGAGTATCGTGTCTCATGACAGGATGGTCAATACGATAGAGGGGTGAAAAAGGGAACATTTTACAACTGCAAAAGTGTTGGAAAGCAAGGACTGTGTATCACAATAGTTCATAATTTGTAACTAGTGACGACTATCTCAGTATACTATACTGATATTCTTTTTTGTGAGATAAACTACAAGCACTAGTAAAATTTCATCTAGCTTAGTTAAAAGAAAAATTAATTGTAATGACGCGACGAAATATTAAAACAACAATCTTCAATGGTATAGTATTCCATGCACACCATCATACAAATACCATTTGCGCACAAGTCATTAAGACAAGAAGTTTATTTCTTGGTTGAGGTAAACCTCAGAAAGCTCCTTCAAACTAGGGCGTTTCTCAGAAAATTTGATTATGCCTGAATCTTGGTCATTAGGTACTAATCCTTCTTCATTATTCTTTATGGGGTGTAGAGTAAGAACAGAGATAAAATGCAGATTTGAGAGTGAAGGTAGCTGCTGAAGCTACAATAATAGGTGTATAGAATGGTTGAAGGCAAGATAACTCAGAATCAGAAAAACAGCAGTAAAACGTGCATGAGGAGCATGTTTAGTTCGGTTTTTTAAATTATAAGAGCTTTTCTTGAGCTAAAAACGTTCCAAACTTTTTTTGGAAAAACAATTTTCGCATTTGTTTACAAAGATAATGATTGTGGAATCCTTTTTTGCTAATTTTTAGTTAATTTGTTTCGGGGAAAAATGCGCAACTTTAGGAAATGAACCCCCACCACCCCGTTATTGATATTTTCCTCGAGAAACCCCCGAAAACATGTACCCCTTTTTTATCAATAAAACCCCCCTTTCCAGCCCATTTCAGAGCAAAAAGTTTGGAATTGGGGTTTCCTTAAAATATGATGTATCAAGGGGTTCCAAGAAAAAGTTTCTGTTTTTCTCTTTTTTTTAGAAGAAGCAAACACAGGTTTAGAAATCTGTTTTTTGCTACATTCCTACATTTTTGATGCGCCTGACAGGTTATTACTGTGTTAGACCATTTCCAAGGGCTTCCCACATTATTTCTCATAACCAACCATGCCTAAAGAGAATGAATGTCACAATACAAAGATTATCTGACCTAAAAATTAAGTAAATAGTGATTCATACGAAGACCATGCAATGCATATGCTTCCAGTAGGGGTTGCACAAAAATATATGTATCTGAGAAAATATCAATATCCATATCTGTTACAACACGTACAAGGTTATTGATAGCGGATAGCAACATGTAGCGATGAGACACCGCTAAAACTATTTTAGACTATTGCAACAATATAGCTGTAAAAAGTGTAAAGTCAAATAGCGGTGGAAAGGTGGAGGCGCTGCTGTAGCCGGGAAGGCGGAGGAGAAGAGGAGATGAAAGAGTTGAAGAAGAGACGAGCTGGAGAGGTAGCCGGAGAAGAGAGTAGGTGAAGCGGTAGGGGCATTATTCAAGATGGAGGTAGCAACTTTAGAGATTTTTTTTTCTATCGACGGAAAGGAGAAAGAAACGGGGTTGGATTTGGGGTTCAGTAAAGTTTAGGTCAGGTTTGCTACGGATGAGGTTATGACTGTGTCGAAGCTATGTCTAAAATTTATCCGAACTAAGTTTAGCTTAGAACTAGTTCAAATATAATCTAGTTCAGCCTCATTAAGGCCAAGTGTAACTAGCCTATATTTAAATTGGATAAGGTTTTTATTCACCAAACTAATCCTAAAGTATCATATCCGAGTTGTGTCTGAACCAAATGCACCCCAGCTTCCAATCAACAAACACATTTATAGTTGAGCATTTAATAATGCTTCTTAACATATGCCCTACGAGCACATTATAGAAAAACCCTTCGCATTAAAAAGAAAGCAGTATACACTAATAGCTGATGTATACAATTCAGCAATTAAAGTGTACAGAGATTTTCGGGCACCTATAGAACTACATAAATAGTGATTCATATGAACCTCATGTAGCGCATGAGCTTCGAAGTCCCATACATTTACATTAACCAATGGTATTATTAGAAATCCTCTATAATACCCCAACCCTTGAGAGGGTGATGTGATTAGTATTGATAGATTTGATTGGAATACTCATACCACCAAGATGCATCTTTTTTCGGGAACCCAACTTTTAGAAACTCCAAAGTAAAGCGTGTTTGGTCTGGAAAAATTATAGGATGGGTGACCCCCTGGGAAGTTTTCCAGGGAGCGCGTGAGTGAAGACAAAACGTGCTAAAAAGACATGTGGTGGTTTGTGAGGCTAGTCCATCAGATCTAATAGCGTACCGACTCCGGGATTTCGGGGCGGGGCGTTACATCCTCACCAACTTAGATTATTCTATAACAACTTTCTAGAACTTCTTTCTAGTAACATCCTATAAAATATCTACTAAGAAGTTTCTAGGAAGATACAAGTGTATGACTAGTATTTATTCTTCTAGAAATTTCTTACTAATGTATGGCTAGGATTAACTCTTCTACACACTTCCTAACCCTCTTAAACAACTATAAATAAGGGTCTTGGGCTCTCATTTGTGTAAGCAAGCAATAAGTAAGCTTGAAACTTGAGTGTGTAGTACAAGCTTGTGTGAGTCACCAAAATAAAAAGTTATGTGAAAGTGAGGTGCTCTTGTAAGAGCAAGTATTGTACTCTCTAGTGTTCTACCGTTTCCTTTGTGTAGAGGGTTGTATTCTTCAAATTCCATCAAAGTGGTATAAAAGAAAGGTTCGATCTAGCCGGGCCAATCGAAGGTGCTTGTGTACGAGATGGTGAACATGATCCAGCCGCAGATTCCGAAGCTGATGAGACCAATTACGACAACTAGAGTATCCAGATGAAAGTCTTGCTCGGCTCGTAAGACTTGTGGGAGCTCGTGGAGAATGGCTACATTGAACCAGAGTCACCTGTAGCAGAAGCAACTCTCACCGCCACACAGAAAAGTGAGCTGAAGGAGGTCAGAAAAAGAGACAGAATAGCTTTGTTCCTAATATTCCAAGGCGTAGATGAATCAGCGTTTGAGAAGATTTCCAACGCCATGTCCTCTAAAGAAGCATGGGAGATTTTACAAAAATCCTATCAAGGTGCGGAAAGAGCCAAAAAGGTATGCCTCCAAGCATTAAGAGTTGAACTTGAATATTTGAAGATGAAAGCTACAGAATCAATATCAGACTATTTTAGTAGAGTTCAGACAATAACTAATCAAATGAAGAGAAATGGAGAAGCAATTAATGATGTAAGAATTATGGAGAAGATACTTAGGACTTTAGACTCTAAATTCAAATATATTATTCCGCCAATACAAGAGTCTAAAGATCTTTTCGAAGTTTCTATTGATGAGCTAAAAAGTTCTCTACAAGCTTATGAACAAGATATAAACATCAGTTCAAATCAAGCGGAAAATCTAGAGCAAGCCTTGTAGAGTAAGATGACTATCCAAGAAGATAGTCGAAGAGGACTTGGATGCTACAGAGACATAGGCTCTTTTTGAGTTGGCTTAAACTTCCAACAAGGTCGTAGGAGACAGTACCAAGGAGGCCATGAAAATCAAGTTCGAAATGGAGATCATGAATGATCCTTCGATCGAGGACGAGGTCGTGGCGCACGAGGACGAGGATAAGGAAGAAGTTACCAGGAGGATAAATATCAGCCACAATGTTACAAATGCAAGAGATACAACCATCTTAGCTATGAATGCTAGGAGAAACCAAATCAAATGGCAAAAAAGTAACTTTGTAGAAAGGGAGCAGCCAGACACCTCAACAGTCCTGCTGACATACCAGGAGTATGAAAGCAAGAATCAAGATATCTGGTATCTGGATTCAGGTGCCAGTAACCACATGTGCGGCATCAAGAAGTTTTTTACCGAGTTAAACAAGACGATGCAAGGAGATGTCACTTTTGGTGACCAGTCAAATATTCCAGTAAAAGGCAAGGGCAAGATAATGACCCAGACAAAGACGGGCGAGAATATGTACATCTCTGATGTCTATTATGTTCCAGCACTACGAAATAATATTTTGAGTCTAGGCCAGCTCCTTAAAAGAGGCTATGATATGCATCTAAAAGACCTTTGTCCTCGCTATCAAGAATAAAAATAAAGTAATTGCAAAGGTGAACATGTCTCGAAATAAACTGTTTACCTTAAATATTCATACTGACCCTGTCAAGTGCTTAAAGATGATTATGAATGATGAGTCTTGGCTCTAGCATTTGAGATTCATGCATCTTGCATTCAGTGGCCTGAATCTTCTGTGGAAGGAAAAAATGGTAAAATGATTGCCGCAAATCAACCACCCAAACCAACTATGTGAAGGTTGTATGAAGGGCAAGCAACATAGAAGAAGTTTCAAAGTTGAAAAGTCAAGAAGAGCAACAGAGCTGCTACAATTAGTCCACACAGATATTGCAGGACCATTTGAAGTCATATCTCTTGGAGTAAACATGTACTTTTTCACATTAATTGATGATTACAGCAGAAAAACTTGGGTTTATTTCTTGAAGGAGATATTCGAATCTCTGGAGAAATTCAAAGAATTCAAGGAGATGGTAGAAAAGCAAAGTGGATACCACATCAAGGTGCTCGATCAGATCGAGGTGAAGATTACACTTCGAAAGCATTCAACAATTTCAAAAGGCAGTACGGGATAATTCATCAACTCACTGTTGCCTACACACCACAACAGAATGGCATAGCAGAGTGGAAGAATCGTATCATTCTTGATATGGTCAGAAGCATGTTGAATAGCAAGTACCTGCCGAAGACTTACCGGGCTGAAACCGTGGACTGTGCAGTTTACCTCCTCAACCGATGTCTGACAAAGAGCGTAAAGTTTAAAACACCATTAGAGATGTGGAGCAACATCAAGCCAAGCGTCAACCACCTGAAGGTGTTTAGGTGCATTGCATATGCACACATCCCAGAGCAGAAAAGAAAGAAGCTGGACGATCGAGAAGACAAGTGCATATTTGTTGGGTACAAAAGGAGGACAAAAGCGTACAAGCTCTACAATCCAATTACAATGAAGATGATCATTCAAGAGACGTGGAGTTCGATGAAGAAGATTATTGGAAATGGACCGATGAAGATAAAAATATTAAAGGTATGTTCTTTGAAGATAACGATGATGACTTGCAGGAGGTTGGAAGACCAGAACAAAGTCCACCTAATAGTCCAGCTCCATGAACCCTAACATCGACGCCGACATCATCACCATCCAGCTCAAGTGAAGGAAGCTCTTTAAAAGGAGCAACAAGGAGGATGAGAAGCCTAAGAGATCTGTACGACGATACAGAAACTATCGAGATGGTGGAGGACTACACACTATTTTGCTTATTTGCAGAATTTGATCCGGTCAGCTATGAAGAAGCTGCTTAAGAAGATAAGTGGAGAAAAGCCATGGAAGATGAGATCCAGGCAATCAAGAGATATGACACCAATCAATAGATAAGACACATGGGAGCTCACTACCTTACCTGAAGGCCATAAACTAATTGGAGTAAAGTGGGTGTATAAGACAAAGACAAATCAAGACGGCGGAATCGAGAAATACAAGGCCAGACTTGTTGTGAAGGGCTATAGTAAGCGAGAATGAGTTGACTATGAAGAAGTGTTCGCACCAGTCGCAAGGATCGACACCATCCGACTCATTATCGCATTGGCAACACAGAACAGGTGGAAGATCTACGAGATGGACGTGAAGTCTGCATTCCTGAATGGCTGCCTAGAAGAAGAAGTCTACATCAGGCAGCCACCGGGCTACGAGGTGAAGAACCAAGAAGATAAAGTCTATAAGCTGAAGAAGGCATTGTATGGATTGAAGCAAGCACCCAGGGCGTGGAATGCCAGAATCGATGCATACTTCCAGAAGAATGGATTCCAACAAAGCTCGTATGAGCACTCTCTTTATACCAAGAAGGATGGAGACATTATGATCGTATGTCTCTATGTGGACGACATAATCTTCACCGACAACAATCTGAAAATGTTCAAGGAGTTCAAGAAGAACATGATCAGGGAATTCGAGATGACCGACATTGGAAAAATGTCATACTTTCTTGGAGTAGAAGTATCGCAATCTGAGAGAGGAATCTTCATCTCTCAGAAAAAGTACACAAAGAAGATCCTTCGGAAGTTTAACATGAACAACTGCCAACCAGTTGCAACTCCTGTCGAAGTCGAAGTGAAGCTGAGGAGAGACTCACCAGGAATCTCCATTGACCCAACTTTGAATAAGAGCTTAGTCGGAAGTCTACGGTACCTGACCATCACAAGACCCGACATAATGTTTATGGTTGGACTGGTGAGCAGATTCATGGAGGAGCCAAGGCAAAAACACTTCAAGGTGGCCAAGAGGATTCTCAGGTATGTTCAAGGAAGCATTAATGAAGGATTATTTTACTCACAAAGTGTAGATCCAAGACTAGTCGGTTACACCGATGGTGACTATGGGGGAGATTTGGATGAAAGAAAGAGTACATCCGGCTACATGTTTAACATTGGATTAGCAGCCTTTTCTTGGTCATTAAAGAAGCAGCAGTTGTTGCTCTATCAAGTTGCTAAGCGGAATACATTGTTGCATCTGCAGGTGCATGTCAAGCGATATGGCTTAGAAATCTAATGAAAGAGTTGCCACATGAACAAGAAGCATCGACAAAGATTCTCATCGACAACAAGTCCGCTATTGTACATGCCAAAAATCCGGTAGCACATGGACGGAACAAACACATAGAGACAAGATATCATTTCATCCGACATCAAGTTAAAAATAAGACTGTGACGCTAACATATTGCAAGTCTGAAGACCAAATCGCTGACATCTTCACCAATCCACTAAAGACAGAAACATTTTTGAAGCTTAAGAAGAAGCGTAGACTTGTGAGAAATAAAAGTTGGTGATGAAGGGGAGTATTAGAATTCTTCACCAAATTAGATTATTCTAGAACAAATTTCTAGAACTTCTTTCTAGTAACATCCTACAAAATATCTACCAAGAAGTTTCTAGGAAGATACAAGTGTAAGGTTAGTATTTATTCTTCTAAAAACTTCTTACTAATGTATGGCTAGGATTAACTCTTCTACACACCTCCTAACCCTCTTAAACAACTATAAATGGGGGTCTTGGGCTCTCATTTGTGTAAGCAAGCAAGAAGTAAGCTTGAAAGCTTGAGTGTGTAGTGTAGGCTTGTGTGAGTGTTCACCAAAATAAAAAGTTGTGTGAAAGTGAGGTGCTCTTGTAAGAGCAAGTATTGTACTCTCTAGTGTTCTATCAGTAAAAGTTTCCTTTGTATAGAGGGTTGTATTCTTCAAATTACATCAAGTATACCCTACCAACAATTAGTACAAACAAATAAACAATATTTGAAGTTCAGAGGATTACTTCGTCCAAGAGCAAGAGATGGAAGGGCAGTGTTAAACTGAAATAGTAGTAAACAACCAAATAAACCAAAGCAATATCCATCAAGAATAAGCCATAAAAGTTATGTCCACAATTTGACGGTACTAGATGAATAGAATCAATATAGGCTCAGATTGAGAATGGGAGAATCACGTACTTCAGCAAAAATGTATTCTTCTTAACTACAAACTCCTCCATTGATCAGGCTCCATCTCTTTATCACCTTTCATATTTTCTTGAATGAATGTATAAAAGTTATGTCCCCAATTTGACGGTACCAGATGAATAGAATCAATAAAGGCTCAGGTTGAGAATGGGAGAATCATGTACTTCAGCAAAAATGTATTCTTCTTAACTACAAACTCCTCCATTGATCAGGCTCCATCTCTTTATCACCTTTCATATTTTCTTGAATGAATGTCCGGAAAGATATAACAATAAGTCACATGGTCCAAAATTTTTGACGACATCATCTGGCAATATGACACTTAAGAAAATACTAGTTGTCACTTATCAACAGTTCATTGAACAACATCATCTAAAGTACATGAATCCGATTCACGTGAATAGGCTGCAGCAGCTGTTTTCAGCTTTGTCATACCCTTTTTGAACTTATATCTTACCCTACATGTTCATTTCTTGCAACGCGACGCACATGGATCGGGTTTGTGTCAGCCATACCTAGTTCAGAAGTATAATTTTAGAGCTTTACTTCAATTATCCAATAAATAGTTTTTTATTTAGTTTTTAATTGAAGCGTAAATCTGTACATTCTATCCGCAGTTTCTTCCTTGTTGCCTCGATCCAACTCTTCTACAACTTTTACAGCAGCACTGCAACGTTTAATGATTCTGCCCAAAAGTCAAATAACCATTAAGGATTTGATTCAAGACTTCAAGGTTCGTGGGACCCATTCTTCTCCAAACTATTAATATTTAAAACATTTTTTCTTAAATTTTAAAATCTTGTATTATTAACTTAACTAAGACCTCCCCCCCGGGGGAGGGGGAGGGGGGGAGGGGTTGTAGGGGGATCGGGAATCTAATCCCAAATCTTTTTCTCACATCGATTTGTTAGAACCTTTCAACAATTTCTTTTTACACATCACCATTGTGTGAAATAACCTCTAGAAAAAAGATGGGAAAAACAAAAACTAAGCTAATAGATGGATGATGGAGCACTTACCAAAGGAGTGAACTCTGAATTATGATGGAGAAGGAAGAATTAGATGAAAAAGTGGAGAGTTTCAAATTACAAAAGTTATAGCAGGATAGGCCGACATGATCTTGGGGAAAATGGTTGCGGCCTAGTCGGCATGATGTTGACAGAGGTAAAGGGGGAATATTTTGGGATGATCAATACGATGGAGGAAAACAACATCCATAGCTGCCCTTGAAAACATAGACTGGTTTAAAAGTTCCAAAGTATCTTTTCCAGGTTTTTAAACAAAAACTGAAATCATGCCCAAAATAAGAATGATGAAGACCTAGAAAGAAAAGTTCATCTTAACAAAATATAATAAAGCAAACTAATCGAAACTTAACATAAATATTTCAAAATTATTAACATGACATCATGCAGTATTTGAATAAAACGTTTGTAGGAGTATTTCAAAATAAGTTGAAGCTAAACATGGACAAAATTGTTTGTTTGAAGTGTAAAAAGTTTATGATGTCCAAGTGAAAACTTACACGTTGTTCACTCATGTATGGTGTAGAAGTCATAAGGATATAAACATCTAAACAGACAGTTGTTTATCAAGGGAAACAGACATGTATTTAGTCCATTGGTGATAAACAAGGCATAAAATACAGCAGTTACGCCATGTAGAAAAGTTACAGGTGCGAGTTTGAGCTCGATGCATATACATCAAGATACTAAAGCGAGGTTAAATACAAGCAGTCATGCGACTGTGTGAAATCTGCAGTGTGGGAGTCGAGGCCTCTGTCAATCATACACGTCAAAACTGACCATGCTTATGTATCCATGAAAAACAAGTATGATCGATATTTATTTTAACTTTTAAAAAAAAAGTTTTTTTTTGGGGGCCCCATTGACTCCAGGCTTATGGTAATTCTACTTAAGAAACGCATAAAATTCATGCATGTATAACAAGTTTTTGATTTATCTGGCATTGTGCGGACTCGGAGGCTCTTATTGCAAAAACATCGGCCCGTGACAGAAACAATGATGAATATGGGGCAATAGATTAAACAGGAATGGGGTGGGTGAACCACAACTTACTAATATACACAAAATGTATGCAAAAACCTTAAATGTTTGAAATTATTTCCAAAATCTTCAAATTTATGGAATTAAGGATGCTAAGTGCAGCAATACTTTATGAAAGGTTTAAATGTCCATGGAAGAAACTTATTAAAGACATGGTACATTTTGCCAGGAAACTTCTGTGTTAGAGAATCGTGTTTTCTCAAGCAAAAGAAGAAAATAAATAAATAAAAAAGTTTTAAACTGATATAAACAATCGGAAGGGGTTTCAATGGATTAATGTCATGCTTGTGCGTTTGCGACTTGTAAACCCCGGAAAACTTAAACAATAATTTTAAAATAATAATTAATGATTTTATTATGGATTGAGTGATTTTCATTTTGGGATGAATGGATCTGTTGTAAAGATATTAAGAATCTAATTGGCTCTTTCAAAAAACCAGGGGGTTCGGCCGGGCTCGTTATGTATAATATATACTATATATATAATATAGTATAAGTAGATTACTATATATTATATATAGTGATACCGTAGGTATCTATTAGTTTATCGTAGATATAATATACTAAGAGTATAGTTATGTAGTTAGGTGATATAATAGTGATATATATATATATATACAGAGCATTTCAGGTACGCACAAATGCGTACACATTCCGCTCCCCCCATGCGCTATTTGGGTTTTTTTGTAAAAATCCAGCGCGCGCTCTCTCTCGTCGTGACACGTGAGATATATATATATATATAGTGCATTTCAGTTACGCACAAATGCCTACGCATTCCGCTCCCCCATGTGCTGTTTGGGTTTTTTTGTAAAAATCCAGCTCTCTCTCTCTCGTCGTGACACGTGAGTTGCAATAAAAGACCCCGTGACCCTTGCTCCTCCCCAAAAGCGAAACGCCGAACCCTGCTGCCTCCTCCCTCTCCCGATCCGCCGTCGAAACCCTAATTTCTCCCCCCTCTCTCGACCAACCATAACCGCTACGTCTTAGACCGAATAGCCACGACCGCCACGACACCACCGCCGAACCTCGTGACTCACCCCCTCGAGCCGCCGAACCCTGCTGCCTCCTCCCTCTCCCGATCCGCCGTCGAAACCCTAATTTCTCCCCCCTCTCTCGACCAACCATAACCGCTGCGTCTTAGACCGAATAGCCACGACCGCCACGACACCACCGCCGAACCTCGTGACTCACCCCCTCGAGCAATCGATCTCCATCAGGCCCCCAAAAAATGGGAATCATCAACAAAGGTGCGTTCTTCCTCACGAGCTTTTTTGATTTTCTGATTTTCGGATTTTCTAATGTTGAAGAATCAAATTTTTTGGGTTTGGAATGTTGAAGGCTGACTAGAATAATTTAACTGAAGTCTAAGAATTTGATGATTTTCTGATTTTCTAAAACAAGCAGTTGTTGTTTGGTTCGAATTAGAGAAATCTGACATACAATGCATTTTATATAGGTCATTTGTTGTGGATATGATTCATGTTGTTGACAGCAGAAAGGTGGATAAACTTAATACAAGGGCGAAATCCTGGGTATTAATGAGAAAATTAGATCTATTTTTCGCTCACGAGAAATTTTAATGTTGAATGTTTTCAAATCCACAAAAGTTAACATTTGCATTGAGAATTTAGGATAACTTTCTATTTATGTCATCCAATCGGATATTGCATAATCTATAACTTAAGTTCATGTTCTCTAGGGGCTACTTAGTCTGAGACAATATATGGAATTGGAGAAGTCCATGTTTGAAGTAGCAGGATGATGTATTATGTATTAAGTATTATTTTTATAATTGCAGTTTTTAACAGTGTTTTTGATGTGTTACTATAATTGCTGTGTAACATAAGATGAATGTATTGTTAGAACCCAAATTAGGGCTAGCCAGTACTTGGCACGAGCCATAATACTAAGTAAAAGTGTTATAGCTGGATAACAGAAACAGTATCCATGTACTTTGCTAATAGCTATTAGAACATTAATTATCCTAGTTAGTAAGATATTTCATGGTCAAAAAGACCAATTAAAGGACAAGAACTAGATTACTTTAATTGGATCCTAACTTTTCATGTATACAAATATTTTCAGGTTATCCATGACAAGAAAGAGTTTTTATGTTGTGAAAAGAGGCCGACGATGTAGTATTTTTTATAATTGGAAGGAATGCAAATCTCAGGTAGATAAATTCACAAATGCCTCCTACAAAGGGTATGCAATGTACAAAGAGGCTTTGATTGAATGGGAGAAGCACACACTCGCTCGTGATTCAGCATCCAGCTCGAGGCATGTCCAGACATCTGTTTATGCTCAAGAACAAAGATATTCAGTTAGACATGGACGAGGACAATGAAAAACTTGGGGCAACGACTAGTTTCTCCATCAATGCTTTTGTATTAGGTTCATTGTTTACAATAGTAGTGTTTCTCATATGTATCGTTGTGGTATTTGTTGGTATGTACTTTGCAAAAAACATGTGATGTTATCTTTTCATTTTTGGTTTCTCTGGTGTTTTAGCTGGGGCTCGTATTGTCTGTTGTTGTCGAGTCTTGTATCTAGTTTGGCGTCGGTGATGTTTAGTGCCGGAGTCTGTTGAGTTTTCTTTTGCTGGCTGAAGTTATGGCACCGTAATCTTTGTGACCAACGATACTTAGCACTGTAATCTTTTACTGTCTGAGTCTGTTGAGTTTTTGTTGGTTTCTTTTACCGCTGATGTTTAGTGTCCGAGTCTAGTTACAAATAAGTCCTTTGTTGTTGTGTAGTTGTGGCTACTGTTTTTCTTTTGTTCCTTACATTTGCTGTTGTGACACTGTAATCTTTGTTGACAGGTTGTCGTGGTTTGGATAGTTTTAAGGTCAATTAAGTAGCATTCTTGCTTCATTTGTTGACAGGTTGTCGTGGCACTGTAATTTTTGTTCCTTCAATTTGCTGTTGTAGCATTCTTGCTTCATTAATCTTTTGTTCCTTACATGCAGCCTTGATGGTTCTCCACAAAACATCCTGCGTTTGGCCAACTTAGAGTTTCATCTTGCAATAAAACTAGAAGCGAAATAGTACAGACAACAAAAACTTCGTACTTGAAACAAATCAAAGATTACACTTGTTTCTTCACAACAAAAACTTTGTACTTTGTTTCTTCACATAATCAAAATACCAAGCGAAATATTCCGAGCATTAGAGTTGTTTACCCAGTTCATGCTGAGCATTACATTGCATTAGAAAAATCAAATCAAAGATTAACTGTAGAAATCTTCAAAGCTCCCTTGTTTCTTCACATAATTCAAGGCTAAAATTGATATCAGCTTGAGAAACACACTCCGAATCTAGTTTAGATGAATGAGCAAAGTACATTGTACATAACCACAAGGCAATCTGCTGATTTAGCTGAAAATAATCAAACAAATAACGCACAAATGTAGAGGGTTCCTCATAAGTAAACACAATAGGTGCATACATAGCTGCATTCAGCAATGTCACTGGGCCTAGTTAACAGGCTTGCTTCCATCCCATGAAACCAGTCAGACAGTATGGCTCTTCAGTAGTCCTACATGCGCAAACAATATCTTAGAATGTCCTGATTCAAGCAACAGATATCACATCATTATTGGAGTTTTCTTTTAAACATGACACATACTGTAGAAATCATAATGATGTAGACGAATACAGAAAAGAGTGTTGTTCAGGTAATGAATACACATCTTAATTTAAATAATAAAAAACAAACAATTCATGGATGTACTATTACGAAAAAAGGAGACTACTTGGAGCATTAAATCAGCCAAGGTAATCAAATGATGTAGACGAATACAGAAAAGAGTGTTGTTCAGGTAATGAATACACATCTTAATTTAAATAATAAAAAACAAACAATTCATGGATGTACTATTACGAAAAAAGGAGACTACTTGGAGCATTAAATCAGCCAAGGTAATCATAGAAACACACTAGAATTCATAGCAATGATTGACAGCAATTCACAGAACCATTACTCTCTTAATCTTCAAAAAGATCCACATCTTCACTTGATGACTCATTACCCTCTTGCAAATTTGTATCACCGCATATAGAAGACCTACATTATATATATATTATATACTCATTACCCTCTTGCAAATTTGTATCACCGCATATAGAAGACATAGATTATATATATATATATATATATATATATATACATCAAGACGAATACTAGAATGTGAAAAATAAGACAACATAAATAATAAAAGAATTATTACTTACGGATTTGTGAGTGCCGGACAATTTCGCTTATCGTGTGATTGACCTACTTTACCACATCCGTGGCAACGTCAATCTTTTTTATTTTTGGCTCTAGTCATTGTTGTCTCTTTTCCTCCTTTCAACCTTTTACCGCACCCTTTTGCGCGCACTTGATCGGGTTCATTGAAACTATTTTCAGAACTATAAGAACCATGCGCACTAGTACCATTACCTATTATCTTACTACATATTGGATTACTTTTCTCAGTGAAGCCCATTACATCCATGTAGCTACTAAGAAATTGGTCAATTTGCTCATTAATGCTACACAATCCATCGGTAAACATCTCCCTTGTTTTTTCACATACGAGGGACTTGTCAACTAAATCCAAAGATAATTGGATAAATTGACCCCGCGTTAAAAGATAAGAATTATCAGGGGTTATCTGTATGCCTTTATCATCATGAACTGTCCCCGAATTTGCAGACTTAGTCCATCTCAATAAGATGTATTTATCGGGCAATCTTTCAGCATCAAATTTCATCAAATATGAGATAATGTGAGTACATATGATTTCGGTGCTTTCAAACTTTTTACAACTACAAGAAACCAAATCCAACTGCTTGTCGTAAACGATTTCGCGGACTTTGCTTGTTGTGAGCTTCTTTCTTTGAATTTGATACACACAGCGATTGTCGGTTTCCCCTAACAAACTGTAGCTTGTAGTTAAAGCTGTCACACACTTCAGCCTCAAACTTGTAATACATTTCATTAGTGTAAATATCAACTATTTGCTCCAAAAAGTCATGATTTATTCTAAGTTTAGGTTTCTCAATCACGCTTTTGTGATCGGCCATCAACTCCTCGTGACGTTGGTGCACTAGTCCCTGACCAAACTGTATCATAAAATCCACCAATGAATTATTCTTCGAAACAAATTTCTTGAAGAGTGCATGTCCACTTTCTGCTCGTTGGCTACTTGACATGTCTCCTGAGAAAATGTGATTAACATATGCAGGAACCCATCTTGACCGAAGTTCATATTGGTCTTGCAACCACTTGTTTCCTTCTAACTCACTTTTTAATCATAATTTACCATTGTAAATCAAATTCTTCAGGAGTCTCTGATTTCCAAATGCAAGCCAAGAACTCACTTTTATAAATACTATAATTCACTGCATCAATTTTCTCAGAAAACTTCATTAATATATGCCAACTACAATACCTGTCAAAAGAATTAAATAAAGTGTTAAAAAGAAAGGCTATGTATATAAATAATTTTAATAATCTATACAAACTATATTACCTGTGAAAAGTATTTGGAAAAACATGAGTTAATGCCTTTGTCATAGCTGGGTCTTGCTCGGTAATAATCATCTTCGGGGCACCACGAGGCATACTTTCAAAAAATTTATTAAATAACCATACAAAATCATCAACGCTCTCATGATTCAAAAATCCACAAGCAAAAACAATTGTTTGACCATGATTGTTAACCCCCATTATTGGTGCAAATATAAGGCCATAGCGATTAGTGTTGTAAGTAGTATCAAAGATTACAACATCGACCAAAAACAACGAGTAATCTTTTGTTCCTCATCGGCCTCAATTTGAAAAGTAAATGCGGGATTCTTTCCTTGTTCCAATTTTAAATACTCGTAAAATATTTTACCATCATGTCGCTTCATATCAGCATGTATATCCCATTTATGATTATACAAATCTCTTTGAGTGCACCCAATATTTTCTATACCTCCAGATTGTACTCCAAGAAAACTAAATTGTTGATGCTGAGGTATATTCACAATTGATAACTGTTTAGTTAAAGACTTTGTTGCGGCTGAAACGTTACGATGGGACATTAAAAGATGAACATTTGATGGTGTTCATAGCGGATGGCTGTGCTCCTCTTTAAAAATAGTAACAATGAATTTTTCGGAGTTTGATTTAAAACTGTAATTTAGGAAGTACAATCTTCAGCTACGCTTCCTCGACGTCTTTTATTTCCAACATCCGCGATTCTTAGAGATTTTCCTTGTTAAAAACAAACATACTCATTCCTTCTTATTTCACTACTTCCCGGCTCTTTCTGAGTAGTCTAAGCCCTTACACTAAACCCAGCTGCTTTAGCATAAGCATTGTAGAATGTTACAACATTATCTATTGTGTTAAATTCTTGCCCCCTTTTTTGGCCTCAACTCATCTGATACTTGAGGAGTATATATCGAACTATCGTCATCCAAGTTTAATTCATTAGCTTCAGTGTCCAAGTTTTCCATTTCTCATAAAAAATTTTAATTGACCTATATAAAATGCACCGTATGTCAGATTTCTCTAATTTGAACCAAACAACAACTGCTTGTTTTAGAAAATCAGAAAATCATCAAATTCTTAGACTTCGGATAAATTATTCTAGTCAGCCTTCAACATTCCAAACCCAAAAAAATTGATTCTTCAATATCAGAAAATCCAAAAAAGAAACTCAGAAAAGCTCATGAGGAAGAACGCACCTTCTTTCTTTTGATTTTCTTATTTTTTGAAAATCAGATTTTCTGTAACTAAAAATATATCTTTTGAAGTGATTGACATTTAGAATCTAGATATTCTACTTCAAACAGAATTGTCCGTACTTTCAAAAATTGAAAAGGAAAAATAAATCATTAACTATGAAATAACAGGATAAAGGTAGTTGGCCTCTATCCATCGCAATCCCTTGTCTTCTAAGACAAAATTATAAAAAGGAAAAAGAAATCAACTATGAAATAACAAAAGAAATCATCTGCGACGAAACTAACAGTTGTGGAGAGAAAGAAAAGAAGAACCGGATTTGAGATGGGGAAATAACATAGATGGGGGAAAAGAAATCATCTGCGACGAAACTAACAGTTGGCTCGCAGATAGCCGGAGTTGGGGGAAATAGCATAGACAAGGAAATATCAGATTTTACCTGGCCGGAGTTAGCTCGCGGAGGAGGAAGGGTCTTGGAGAGGGGCTGAGAGAGTGATCGATCTGATTTAGGGAGCCTTGCGCGTCGATGTCGTGTGTTTGGGGGCGTCGGCCTTTATGTCGGCGTCGGCGTCGAGAGAGGGAGGAGGGAGGGTCTTGGAGGGGGGTAAAGAGAGATCGATCTGGTTTTGGGGATTTCGCTTTTGGGGAGGAGCAAGGGTCACGGGGTCTTTTATTGCAACTCACGTGTCACGATGAGAGAGAGAGCACGTTGGATTTTAAAAAAAAACCCAAATAGCGCATGGGGGGAGCGGAATGCGTACGTAGAGAGAGAGCACGTTGGATTTTAAAAAAAAACCCAAATAGCGCATGGGGGGAGCGGAATGCGTACGTACGTGTCACGATGAGAGAGAGAGCACGTTGGATTTTAAAAAAAAACCCAAATAGCGCATGGGGGGAGCGGAATGCGTACGTAACATATGATCTAACATTTATGATATAAAGGTGGCCTCTTTAACCAATTGGCAAAGAATTACTGTTGTGATGATTTTGCTTGGGGTTGTCACAAACTTCAATATTCAATGTTTTCAAAAAAAATCTTTGGCTTACTAATTGTTACTTGTTGAGAATATTGCCATGTTGAATAAGGGAACTGTTAGGTGTTGGTGGTGATCAATTTAAAATTCTTAGAAGAAAAAGAATTTACATATTTACGGTAAATAAAACAATTATCTTAGCTTTTTGATTAAAAAAATATTTGAATAAACTTAAATTTTAGAAATATTTTCTTCATTACTGTAACTACAATTCATAATAATAATT